GTTAATCGTTATGTTTTCAAAAATTAAATTTGAAATTAAATAAAAAAAAAAAATAATAATAAAAATCAAGTTTTAAATCAAGTTGAATGACTTCAAAAATCTGTGCGAAAAAATGTGATAACAGCCGCCTTCTTTCTGCGGGGCGACTCTGTTTTATGTTATTTACGTTCAAGTATCCCAATGACATATTATATATTATATATTATTGTTTGTTCAAGCTACATGCATAAATAGCATAAAGAAAACAAAGCACAAAAAGAAAAATCAAAAATTTTTACCGGTGAATGTGTGAATGAAATTTGTAATTATCGCTCGCGAGTCACATGCAATGTCTTCTGTTATGCTTTCTTAATTGCAAGATATTTCTGCTTAATTTAATGCATTTTAAATATTTCCTTGAAAATGAACGAATTTTTTATACAATTAAATGATTGCTTGAGTGCGTTTATTCTGTATATATATATATATATGTACACATATATACACATATATATATATATATATATATATGAGAAAATTGTTGTTAGTGCAGATTTCATTTGACAATTGCTTTTGATTGATTCAATTGAAATTTATTCAAAATATGGCGTGATCAAGTTTCCAATGTGATCAATGTGGATACATATGTGTAAGCGTGTTCCATATGGCTTTTATTTACGTTTCTAATATTTCCAATTCAATTCATTAGTAGTCTCGTAGTGTCATAGTCGTTCTTATTGAAACCCGATACATATCGATGCATATATCTCGTATGCAATTAAAATTTTATTTTCGTAAAATTAATTCGTAATAATGTGTGCTAAAAAATGAGAAGACGAAAAAGAAGAAGAAGGAAACCCAAGCTGAAATAATTTCAATCTGTTCTGATCAAAATGCTAAACGTACTTTAGTTAAATCGGTTTCCTTGTGGAAATTGCCTTCAACTGGCCGCAATCGACTAAAAAGTTCGTTAGATCTTAAGTATAGCTAGCTTTACTAGATTATAAATCGAGAAAAAGTATTTAAAAAAATGTAGGTCAGTGGCAGCTATGTTTTTAAACGGATGTAAAATGCTTATATTGATAGTGAACATTGAACATTTTTATTAAATAACAAGCAAAAAGCCTAAAGCGGGCCGTCCCGCGCCACCCTAGAATTATTCGCCTAACGATCTTTCAAAATGAAATGTTATATGGTAAGGGATCCGAGGGTTTATTCTTGAACTAAACTATTTCATCAAAATATCTTAAAAATTGGATCTTATAGGTTGACCACAAGATAGCAGGGTGGACCCACATGTCTATCGGTTCTAAGAAAGAGTGGGTCTTTCTGGGTGGCGCATACGTTCGCACAAGTTTAATATATAATCTTGTACCAAAAGCGGTATAGGATTTAATAAGTTATTACAGTGTGTATGTGTATGTGTGTGTCTGTGTGTGTGTGTGTGTGCAAGTAGGTACTGAAAGAGCGAATAAATTCCGTTATAAAGAATTCTAGAGAAATATAAACTCGCCAGCGAAAAGGTTCTTTTTTACTGTATTATGCCTTTATTGGGGGGTGAGTGAAAGCTTTAAAACCCTGGGGAGTCGCCGAGATATTATGTGCGTTTTAAGTGGCATATCAATTGATTTAATCAAATGATGCTGCCATTCGCGATCAAGTGGGCGCATCAGGCAAAGGTACCAGTAGATGCTAATATAAAAAAGTAAGAAATAGACATGTTTATGTGCAGAGGCTTACTCAACCTGGATTGTACTCATTGTCTGACCAGGTCCCAAAGTTTACATAGAAAATGTCTTTAAGAATTTGAACGATGGACTTACCCAAGCCACACATATACAGTTCGATTAGTTGAAAATATCGTGATCACTGAAAGTATTTTTGGAAAGAGATTAAAACCTAGACATTATTACTTTTATCATCCGGCTCAACATGAGAGGTGTGGCCATTTTCTCAAAACGTTTGAAACCGCTTGGAGGGAGCTTCAGTGTCACGGCAAAGCATATGTGTACTTGATCAGCATCAAATTCTAAACCGCTGTCCGTCCATCTGGCTGCGGAAAACATTCTTCCGATCGCAAAAATGAAGCTATCGGCTTTGAATGTTTCTTGCACGCTGGTTAGAATTGAAAATGTGATAGATCGGTCAAGTATACGAGCACAGTACAATATGATCTGACATAACTTCTGTTTTCAAAGAAAAAAACTCATCACTTATAAACGACAACAGATGATCCTACAGCAGCTGCATTAAAGTGTAGGCCACGCCTACACATAATTATAAATAGTCAAATTTTTATTTTTTGTTTCGCTTTTTCAACATTTTCTGCTTGTTACACTCTTAAGGTAAACAAGATAGAATTTTGAGAATTATTCCGCACATACGTCACATGAAAGTACATTATCTTGGTGGAAACGTAGTCATTCTAAAAGGAATATATATATGGTCGAGCTCACCTTCTTAGCAGCAGCACAGTTAATTGGGTATCATATAAAAAGATTTGGAGATCAGAATGTGACAAAGCTAAATATCGCGGACGTCACGACATTTTGCGACGGATAACGGTGATGGGTGCAAAAGATTCGGTCGCAGCTCATATCAGCTCAGAACTTGTGACTAACTAACGTTATTTCTACAATTTTCCTAAATCTTTTTCACACAACATGTCGGGAGATTTTCGATGCATTCGCATAGAATATAAAAGTATGAAGATTTGTGTTTGAGATTAACAATCTTTGGCGATCCCTAGGACTACCTGAGATGAATTGCATCGGAGGATATTGTTAAACGATAACATCTCGTACAATAACGAGTTAAGTCTATCACGGCATTCTCTAAGACAAAGAGTTAGCCAAAGTTGTCCTTCGGGCTGTAACGAGATAATCTTCTAGTTAAGCTTCTCGCACGAAAACGCGAGTAATGCCAATTTTTGAAAGGCTTTACGATAAAACCGTTCATCGCTAGACATCTAATAGTGCCGAAAAGAGGGCGTTGGTTAGAAAAACAACAGCAGTCTATTTAAGTGGTTAAAATATTTCTCTAAGGACTTCAAGAACTGTGGAAAATTGTTTAAATCGCAGTTAACTGAAAACGCGCTTAAAAAATATTTAAGATGAAAAATTTTAGTTATGAATAAGCAAAATTATAGCGATATTAACTGATTGAAAAATTATTATTATCTTGGTTGCTGGTATGTATATGAACATTACAACAACAACAAAAAAAAAAAAAAAAAAAAAAAAAAAAAAACTTAACTACAAAGTTTATGAGGCAGCGTTAAAAGTAATAAAACCGAGTTAGTGCTATGCTACCAGACCGTATATACTTCACTACCCACAATTTATTCCACAAATATATGACGCTTGCGAAATCCCACACACACAAACCAAACACTGGTTTATTAATTGCAATTAGTGCCAGTAGTGTTCATTGGATAACACCAGTTTTCTTTAAGACTATTACTTACCACTGGTGGGTAAACTTAATTTCTTATCGCGAGTGTCTTTGAAACGGTCAGGCATAGACCGAACCTAGTTAGGCATTCATTCTCCTAATTAGATAACGTCCCATTTTATTTACATTATACCTGTTACGAGAAAACCCCATGTCTTTGCTGATTTTATGTTAACGATTAAAAAAAATTATATCAATACCGTATGAGCTTCATATAGTTTTGCTAAAACGATTAATGGATATTTAATACCGTTCAAGGCATATGCGTAAATAGCAAGAGGTATGCCTCGGACCAAAATTTTAATACCGTCAACACAACTCAAGGTAACTTTCTGATAACCGATTATTCTTCCAAAGTTACGAACGGATCAAAACGTCGAGTAGAATAATTTTCTTGTCTTAGATCTTAGATCGAGATATCTGCTGTAGACTTTAAGAAAGATATTTCAAAATAATAGTATCTGGAAGCGTGTAAAAAACAAAATAAATAAATAAAATTGAATTTATTTATTAAAGGTTTTGCATGGATGCGCGCATATCTTGCGCAGCTTTTTGTATAGTTTTCGCTAACCAGCGTAGCGTAACGTGTCCAGGTTCTTCTTTTATTGCATTAAAACGACAAGACCCCGTGAGCGAGAACATGGATGAGTACCGAGTTTTTCGTTCAATCTGATTGAGTTTTTGGTTAAGCACTCGTGCCGGCAACTGGAAATGAATCCCGTAGAGATCTTTTTCCCGTTTCAAGTATTAGTTAGAATGTTAAAAGGAAACCTAGAGGGTGTGTTTAATTTTTGGATCAACTCCTTAAGATGTGTACGAAGATTATTACGCGTCAACGTTTTGATTTAATTCAATGGCTTCAACGTTTAGCTGGAGATAGTAAACTATTGCATCTCGGATTACGTTACTCTATGCATTATATACGTTGACGGGAAGCGCAATTTTTTGTAGATCTTTTCAGCGATTCCGAGATGTGAACACAAAAGTTTGGGAAAATTCTGTGTCTAGCTAACAGAGGACTGAAAAGGAGATTTATACCCGCACCCAGCGATAGATGGCGTTCAAATTTTCCGTAACCACATCTTCACATATCACCACATGCCTGAATTTTTAGAACTCTTGAGATGTTTGTCTTATAGAGAATGCAATCAAGAATAAATGTTCCAAGCTACAACTTCCTCCTTTGCTGCCGAACGTTGAAGCGTTCGAATAATGTTCCTGGAATCTCTATGATGTGATGATATGCATACATATACATATACATATATATATGTATATATATATATAGATATTTTATGGAATTTTGGAATCTGATTTTATCAAACGGAATGATAAAATTAATAGACTACCGTGTTTCGATGGCCATGTGGTAACATAAATATGTGCAATAACCAGAATAATTGAATGTTACGTTGAAAGTCAATGATTGTAACCATATTTTACATACATATGTGCGATGCATATTTGTAGAGATAGTGTCTTAACTATACACACACACATATATATACATATATATATGCATACATTTATTTGTAATGAATTGTTGATAGAGTTCTTGAGTCATTTACCTTATGTTCATCGAATTTTAAAACAAATTCTAGAATCTCGGCCAATTGTTTAACCAGCGCCTGTTGAGTTTCTAAATGTTGCGTGGGATTTAGTTTGCCACCAACTAGCTGGCCCAGCAATTTCGGTACAATTTTCTCTAGTTCCAGTGAATGCTCATAGCAACGTTTCAATTTAATCACCAACGGCAGGACGGCAGCCCAAGCTTTTTCTTGACACTGCGGTGAGGGATCGGCAATAGCTTCACGTATTTCTTTACCAGCCCCCTAAAAAAGGCGTAAGAGGGGAAAGAGAAGTGAAGGAATTGAATTAACATTTGAATTATAATTTACTTTGCATGCAACACGTAATTCTAATTTTAGTAAAAAATTTAAAAATTCACAAAAAAAAAAAAAATAAAAAATTTAACCACAAATAATATGACGTTTTCGGTTGCCTGGAATAAGATATCATTATTGAACGAGTTGCTGCTACAACAAAAAGGATTCGTTCATAGAATTGTTTTATGTTTTTTACATATGTGCGTTTGATTGCTTATTTATGTTTATACATATGTACATGGACATGTATATGTGCACGATACGTATGTAAAAATAATGTATATTTTCGTACTCAACGAGTATTATTTGTATAACGAGTACAACGATTTACTATTCAAGCAAAATTACAAAAAATAAACGGCTTTCTTACCAAAATAAAGAAAAAAAAACCTCAATAATAAATTTCCTATATATGCATGAGCTTGTACACAATACATGAATTCACATATTTGAACAATTAGTATGCATGTACATCCATACGTATATACATATTAAAAGTTATAAGTGTGCATGTTGCATGACCATAATCCTACATCTATTAGAACAGTTGGCTAAAACGGCAAAAAAAAAGAAGAAAAAAAAAAAAAACTAATTGAAGCGACTTGCAAACATTTGCACAACAATCACCAGCTGAGGCCAATGACCGTACCGTACCATACGGTTTAGTGCGTACGTACGTACATATGAATATGGTCTAGGTACGTAAAAACAGTTCGCTACGGTGATTGGTGTTATGGCAGAATTGAAATCATTGCCGGCTTGCGTGTACATATACAAACACATATATACGGATTTTATGTACAAGCTTACACAAATTGTAGATTCATTCTAAAATTTCAATTTGTTATAATTGTTAAATCACATGTGCAAACATTAGGCACAACTGCATGAAATGGCAGCAGCAGTAGCAACAACAGCAACAGCAACAACAACAAGAACAATTAGATAATAAACGCCTTCAATTTTAGCCACAGGGAATTTTTCCGTTAAGTATATGAGATATGTGATTTTTGCTTTTGTGATTAATTGCGAGTAAATAATTGAAAACTTGTAAGAACCGTTACTTTTCATTCGTTTCCTACAAATACTCCCTAATGCATAATTAATAGCGTATACATATAAACGTGTACTATAAAACTACCCTAGCAGAAGGTAGATGCGAAAAAAATTGATTCGCTAAATCGATTAAACAGCAGATGCTTAATCTGCTATAACGATTAAGCACGGTTCCGCCTAATTCGGACTTATGTCATTTGCGGTTATTTTCTCCTTTTTAAATATCAATACAATTTAACGCATATTAAACTCGTACTACCCTGATACGATCTGGAATTGTTGTGATTGCAGAGATTCTGAAGATCGACTATTTCGTCTTCAAATGTCTATACCTTTATGTAACAAGCGACCCCTACGATGATGAAGCACGAGTTCATAGCTTAAGATAATAGTTCCTGTCAAGACCAAGCGAGTGCAAGAGAATTGAAAAATTCGCAAAGTCTTAACGGCTAAGCAAAGCATTATACTTTTTTCCTCAAGTTCAATTCCCTCCGTCTAGAAAATCCTAAATTCATTTATCTCATTTCCTGAAATATTTTTCTGCAACACTTTTTAAAGAAAATATTTTTTTTTTTTTTAGTTATCATAACTTGTTCTCTTGTTTAGAAGCACCTATCATGCGAGGGTAGGTAGATCTGGTGATGGATCCTTTTCATATGGTCATCGATTACTGGGGAATTTTTTGTACTGATTTTTGTCTTAGCATTCAATAAATTTAAAAAAATAAATAAATAAATCGGAATCCTGATGATTACATTGGTTTATGATAAGCCACGGAACAAAATGCTTTTTTTGTTTTTGAAATGACAGTTAAAGCGTGACGCGGTTGTAAATTTTTCAGAAAATCAATTTTCTTCTTTTATTGTCTTAAATAATACCTTAATAGAGATATTCAACCACCAGTGTGTTTTTTTGCAAATATAGTTATGTAACCTTGGACGGCTGTTCGAACCTTCTATTGAAACATCATTTTTCAACTCGACTCGCACCCACAACTCCAGCAAAAAATTTCCACGTGTGCTCTGCAAAAAATTCAAAGAAAAACATGTGCCACGCCCATCCAATATTACAGAGTATGAGAATTTAGTTTTTTCGTATTTCTTACTCTTTTTACTCACTTTTAGTAGGAAAGTGGTACAAGGGGTACAAAATATTCGCTCACAGCCCAATGTAATTTTTTTACTTATTTCTCATCTTATGATACGTGTATGTCTATCTCCATCAAAAAGGATCGTTTTCATCCCCTTTCTTGTGGAATTGTCACACTCACAAGATACACTCACGAACAGACGGGAAATTGAAACACAAGCATTCCTGGACTGATTACGACTTAAGGTTGTTATGCATGCCCATATGCATGCCAACAATAGATGAGGAACGGAGATAACCTCAAAAAATACTAGCAATTTTTTTTTTGTATTTCCATCTACAAGTTTTGTCGGGAAGATATATCCGAAACACTACTACTGAGATATTTGTCAGAGTTACCTTCATGTTTGATGGATCAGTTTAGGAATACGCCTACAGTTATTGGTTATATAGTGGACTTGGCAGGTACATATAAGTAGCTTTACGCTAGCGTTTATCGAACGCTTTCTGATGCTATCAGTTTTTGCACTTTTTAATATCTCATCATTTAGGGGAAATATTTGCTTACCATAATCTCACTGTCGTCTTTAATCTTTACGTGATACCTGACGATACTTAACGTGAAAAAGTGTAATTTGCTCTCAAAATAACAAACGTTTCTCCGAACCTAACAAATTAAAGCCCAGTGCCAACCCAGCTTCAGAGTGAATATTTGCTATCTTGGTGATCAGTAGCAGGGCAATGAAGACGCGACTAGCGGCATTGAAAGCATGGACGACAATAACTCCAGAATAAGGTTTCTGATGTAAAGAGCTTTGGGTAACGTTGAACAGTCCTATACAGTCTATCAAACAAGAGCTACCCATTCCTGTGTGCATCTTTACCTGAAGTCATTCAGCTGCGTGAATCCCTTTCGCGTTAGGCGACTAATATATTTAACTGGCCTCAAATGTGTATAAGCTATCGTGTCATTTCGTATTAACAAAAGATTAGACTGACAATTATTATTGCTCAAAATTCATTTGTGTGCACTCATTGAATTCCATCATGTGTCTACATATAAATAAGTATTTGTGTATGACATAAATGCTTATTATTTTGTGAACTGTGAGATTTGTCCCTAGAATGTAAGACATTCGAATACTCAAATGCGCAGATATTCGTTATAGAAGCAAAGGAACATTTACACATATTACGCTTTTATAACTGTTCTTAGGCAATGCTCTCTCTGTAAACATATGTCTTTTTTATATTTTTATACTTTTTGTTTTACTTTTGTTACTTTATTTTTTGCGTCTGCTTTATCATGCAAGTGACTTTTCATCTCACTACCCAAAAATGGAAAGCGTATTGAGCTGATCACATCACATCATAATAAAGGAAAAAAAAAATAGTTCCCCAAAATTAAGAATATATTTCCATACACCATTGCTCGTCACCATTGACACTTTCTGAGCAGAGTTAGAAGACTGGACGCTTCTATATAAATTAATAAAAAATATATGTACGCTTAAACTCAACAATTTTAGATATTATACATTGGATGTATTTTTATATACTCTAATCCAGTCCATTCCAGTGTACGTATCAAGCTGACGCAGTCTTACGCTTTTCTATATGACCCTGAAGGCATTTTATTTGTGCATCTAATATAGAGGCTATACTAGATCTGCCTAACATTGAAAATTCTATAAAGTTTTTTAACTCTTGATCAAACTGAATAAAAAAAAAAAGTCGTCTCTTTGCATATTGAAATTGCGATCATCACCTTAAAGTTTTGCCGTGAAACACAAACTTGATCTTCTCAACATTTTCATTAGGTTAGTTTTGATAATTAATCGGCGGGAAAAGTCATTAGTTCATGTGTCGATTCGGAAATTCTTGAAATATGATTACAACGGCTCATGACTTGATGCAGCCTTCGATTTACCTCGTATTTAAAGTAGTGAGCTTCAAAATTTTACCTAAATATAATATTTCTGTCTTTATTGTCATCTTCTGGAGCAAAATGCTGCTAACAATTAATTAATAATGCAAACCATTCGGATGAATCAAAAAAAAAAAACCAATCCAAGAGAGTTGCTTTTAGAAAGAAAAATGTAATGCAAGAGTCTTTCCGACCAACTAATATCGTAATGATTACGTAAGGAATACACGTAAGGTAAAGATGTAAGAAAATGAATAAGAAATTTGTATAACTCTTAGAGGACTCTGAACTTGAAATTTGCCACCCGGGCCACTATACATGTGAATATGCCAAAGTCGAGACTTACACTGACCAAGACGACATACGCATTAAAGACTTTCAAATATACACATTTCCGACGTTGATAAACGGAAGAGCAGACAACACGGTATATTTCTATGCTTCGGTATAGGTATAGACATAAGTGACTTTATCCAAAATAATATATGAAGCAATAAATCGAAATCGCTGGGTCATCTTATGATAGATCATCATTTGCACGAAACATGATCTGGGCACTTATATTAATCGATGTGAACAAGGCCTTTGTTGTTAAATGAATTTGATATGAGGCGAAATAATGAAAATCAAAGTGCTATTAAGCCTTTTAAAAGCATATGATATCTGTTTTTTTTTTCGATTAATTAGTTAGTTAGTATTTATCTGCTTAGATGAATAAGAAAATGAAAGGAAGGAGAAATTATATTTCCAGCAAAGAGAATATATCGGATCGAAACGATATCCATAACAATGATCGATATGCTGCTTTTAATAAAGGTTTTCTTTTCTTGGTTCTCACCTATGCGAAGGCGAGCTTTTGCAGTATTAAGCATTA